CAAACCCATACTTGATCAATTTATCTCTCTAAAATTTTACTCTCTAAAATCTCACATTCTAAAATTCTCAAAATATATACATCATAGAATTAACTAAGCACAACTGTTATAAGTTTACTATACCAAACAGTTGCGGTTTCTGCACAAATTGCTGTAGTAGCAGAATTTCTCAGTTAAACTCCAAGCAAGCAAGCAAGCAGTTTCCAACGAACTGCCCCAACCAATAATTGAGCAGTCAAAGTTTGATTAACAAACTAAGAGTTATCCATTACATGTGGTAAGCATTATTCTTAAACATAGTACTCAAAATGTCCCTAATTGCTCTTTACTTGAATATTTTACCTAGGATACCTACATTCCAAAATTTCTCTCTGATGAGAAATTAGAACTTTGAGTGTAATCCTAAGAATAAGGACTTTATAGCAATAACTCTTGACTTTTGCCAATCTGAAGCAGAATTTCTGAGGCCTTTGACCATAACCTGGACCTCCTGTGTGTTTATCCTTTTCAGTATTCTTAACGCAGTCCAGATGAACTAGACTTTGGGCTTTTGTCAGCACAGTCCATCTGCCACTTCTGTTTAATTCTGTGTGAGCTGCTAGATTTCAAAAGCACTGGCTTTAATACAACCTGAGGTTTTGGGTTTTTTTTTGGTGCTGCTACCTGCATAATCAAAGTTTTAGTGCTTAGGAAATGGTTATTTGATGAAAAATAGGTAGAAGTTGATCTTGCTTAAAGCTTGCAATGGGGAATGGATATTCTTAATAAGGATTCTGGTCATACCATCTTTCCGCTGCAGTTCCTGAGCCTGTGGATGTTTTGCCCAGCTGCACCAAAGTTACTTTGTACGTGTGTTTTGCTTTTTTGTTCCAAACTGAGTCTCATTTTGGCTGTCTCTCTCCAGCAAGCCGTGTGTGCCCCCAGTAGAGTGTCATTTCTTACTGGACGCAGACCTGATACTACCCGGCTGTATGATTTCTACTCCTACTGGAGAGTACATGCAGGAAACTATTCCACAATGCCGCAGTACTTCAAGGAGAATGGCTACGTGACCCTGTCTGTGGGGAAAGTTTTTCATCCTGGTATGCTTTGAATTGTCATCTGCTTAACGCACACATGCTTAAGGTGTTTATTCTCATAAACAGATTTTATGTATAGGTATCAACTGTGTGATTTGTGTCTATATTGACAGCCTAAATCATAATCATGAGCCAGACTGTACAGTGATTGCAGGTTGTCTTTAAATCTTATGTTTAAATCTTAGGGCATTAGAGATTAATATATTAGATGAATCTTATCTAATGAATGTTTTCACATCTTGTCTAGGGATTGTGGGAATAAATGTGTAACATTCTAAAAATATGTCTAAAAGTTAGGTATTGGCTTGAAGATGAACAGCTTCATTGTTTAAGTTCTGCATATATATGTTTCGTAGTGGGCTGTCTGTCTGGATCAGGAGATATAGAAAGTATAACTTATACTTCCAATTAAATAAGATATTAGTTCACTAGTTTAAAAGCAATAACGCCTACTGAGTTGAAAAATACTGTAATGTGGACCTTCTTTTTGGTAGTTCTTTAGCCCAGAACTAATCTTGTGTGCATATATTCAGTTGACAGTAAAGCTAATTAAGGATGTACATGAAGACTATTATTAATCCTGTTTTTTTAGGTGGGCTTTTTGTTTGTGTTCCCTGAAGTAAAGCTCTTTAAGAGGCTTGAGTCTCCCTCACCAGTAGAATGTGTATTTCAGGAAAAAATATCTGTCTTAAACTTTTTGACTTTTATCTCTTAGCTTTCTTTTTCTCAGTTGTCAAAGATCATGTGAAATGTTTCTTCATATAGCATATTTTAAAAAAAAAAACAAGTGAAAACAAGTTAAACTAGTTTGAGCTCTTTGTGGCTCAGTGAACTGTTAGAGCATTTCTAATGTGTTTGCCCTTTTTCAGGAGTTTCATCCAACTACAGTGATGACTATCCATACAGTTGGTCCATTCCACCTTTTCATCCTTCAACTGAAAAGTATGAAAATTATAAGGTAAGGGTGGTTTATGGAACCTTAAAGTAGGGTTTTCAGGATGTAGCCAAGTTCTTTGTGTCAAGCCCAGGCAGTGCTCTCTATTTTTTGAGACTGCAACCTTGTGCAGGGAAATAACTAGCCAGGTTGATAATTTGTTGCTTAGCCTCCCAAAAGAAGAATCTCTTCACTTGTGTGTTATGCTAATTGATGTGCTGATCCTGCAGATATTTTAAGTATTTCCAAATTTGTATTTGGAACCTTAAGTGACTGAGATATAAAAATACTTTAGTGATCTTAGTTTGTATTGAGATCATGAATTCCTTTATCTGAGAAGTTCAGTTCCCAACTTCCACGCTAACCTTGCTGTGCTTAGTAAGTGACAAAAACGTTATCAATAGGCTTGGTGAACTAAATTCAATAAAGAACTCAGGGTTGAGTGGGTGAAGTTCATAATTAAAATAATATTTAAGTAATCTGAAACTTTGTAATCTGATTCAGTTTTCTAGAATGTTTGTTACTCTGAAGCGTGGCCCAAAAGAATCTAATCTGCTTTATGTTAGGCAAATGTTGTGATAGCATCATGTGCTGGAGTCTATACACTACAAAGCAAGGAGCTCCAGCCATGAGGCTACAAGTGGCATTGGTAATGCTTTGTTTCATGTGTTTACTGCTGACTGCTGAAAAAGACTGTTTAACACCAGTATTTGCATCCTTGATAAGCTTTTCTTTATGTTCATTTAGCAACTCTCTTAAACACCCTGCTGAGGCCACCTTTTCTTGGCAACTGTTCAGTCTAATTTATCTTTCTTCACTGATTATACATCAGCCACTGCTGGCATTTGCTCAGAAACTAAGTCAGTAGCTTCCCAGCAGCTTTCTGGGAGCTCTTGGGATCAGAAGGAGTAAAAAAGCATGTATATAGAGTAGCCAAATTCAGCCTTCTTGCTAATAGGTCAGAGATTCTGTTCATCATAGAAGCTGTGTGTTCTGCCATATGACTAAGTTTAATCTTCCAAGCTTCAGAGAAGATTCTGCTTTTCTGTGGACGTGGAAGTTACATTCTTCAGCTCCTAAAGCTGTGTGCTCAGTCATCAATGTACTCGGCACCTTTAGTATTCATAGAAATTGTGAAATTCCTTTTCTTGTCTGATCTGCAGTGTTTTGTTGGTAGGATTGAGAAACAAATTGGTTTGAAAGTTATGGAAGAGAGGATTTCTTCTTTGCTTTTATAGAAGCTAAGTTACTTAACTCATGCTTTTTCTTTAAAGACTTGCAGGGGAAAAGATGGAAAACTTTATGCTAACTTGGTGTGCCCAGTGGACGTGTCAGAAGTCCCCAGTGGCACTCTGCCTGATATTCAGAGCACTGACGAGGCCATTCGCTTGCTGAACGCTATGAAAACCAACAAACAAAAATTCTTCCTGGCTGTTGGTTACCACAAGCCACATATCCCACTGAGGTATCCACAGGTGAGGGAACCAGAGCCTGCAGGGGAAGGAGCTTAGACAAGTCTTACTCTTGCTCTTCAGACCTGTTTCCACAAATGCATTATTAGAGGATACCAGGTTGGAAGAGACCTCAAGGATCATCTCGTTGTTCTAACCTTTCTTTGTGAAAGCACAATATAAACAAGATGGCCCAGCACCCTGTCCAGCTGAATCTTAACAGTGTTTATTGCTGTTGTATCTGGAAAGCAAGCTGAAAACCAGCCTTGATTTGGTGTAATTCTAGCAGTCGCCGGTGTTGCGTTTCAGAATGTTTAATGAGAATGAGTTGTGAGCACTCAGCCAAAAGCCAGGCTTCCACCAACGTAATAGTGACTGCTCCTGCCTGGGGATAGTGTTCAGCTTGGTGAAGTGTGACATACTGAGGCTTTATAAGGCCTCATATTCCATTCTCTGTCTGAGTTGGTGGCAAAAATCCTACTTGTTTCAGAAGAAGTGATGTTGGAACTTTTATTTCAGTGTTGCTATGAGATTCAGAAAGCTGTTTTTAGGTAATAACAACTCAGTATTTTTCAGGAGTTAGTTGGTGCTGACTAGCATAGTATTGCTACCTTTTATGCTCTGGGGGAGCGGGACTGAAACTTTGTAAACCGTAGTATTAAAGGGTTGTGCAAGGGGAAGCTTGCTGCTTTACAACACAGAGTTTACAGCAGACCTTAGAGATAGGAGCAGTCTTTATGTGTGTTTGCTTTGTAAAGGAATTTCTCAAGTTGTACCCCTTGGAAAACATCACGTTAGCCCCGGATCCCTGGGTGCCTGAGAAGTTACCGCCTGTGGCGTACAACCCCTGGATGGATCTCAGACAGAGGGATGATGTGGAAGCATTAAATGTTAGCTTCCCTTATGGACCACTTCCAGATGACTTCCAGGTAAGCAGTCAGCACAGTGCATTGAAGTCAGACGGCCTCGTTCAGAATGCAGGGGAGCAGTTGGTTCCTCGTAGATGTTCCCAGGTATTCAGCAACTGACAGTTTGCAAATACTGTGAATTCCCTGCCTTGCCTGCTGTCACCTCTGGCTTCATAGCCAAGCCTTCACTGTAACTGCAGCCAGACCAGTGTGGACAGGGAGGGAGAGCTCATCCATGAACTAGTGACAGTAGTGTGTGCTCCTGGTCTGTGTCTAAGGCAATGTGTGTGGCAGCTGCTAATTCTGTGCATGTTTTCGTTATCTGAATCTGTCTGTTTCAAGTGACCACTCTGTATCTTCTTTTGCAAGATTTTTCTTGACTTTCCAGTGCTTATGCCAAAATAAGTTTGGGCCCTGAGAGAAGCAGAACTAATTTGCAACATCTTTCTTAAAAGAACTTCTGAGAGATATATAGAAATTTCTACCTGCCCCATCCCTTTTCTGGGACGTTAATCAGGCTACAGACACTTTAACAATGAAGCTTTACAAGTAAAATCCTTCGGTTCTGTTACTTACACGGCCATGCGCTCGTGCTCCTGTGTGTGTGTCTGGGGAAGAGCTCACTTGCTTTGTTCCTCTCTGCTGTTGTTTTAATTTGCAGCGGCAAATCCGTCAGAGTTACTACGCAGCCGTTTCCTACCTGGATGTGCAAGTTGGCCTGCTCTTGAATGCTTTGGATCATGTGGGTCTCTCAAATAGCACCATAGTAGTTTTTACTTCTGATCATGGTAAGCGTTAAGATCTTTCTTCAGCTCACTGTTAATAATTTGATTGTGGAACTCAGTGCTGGCATATGAATCAGTTGTGTGCGTATAAAGAGTACAGCGGAGTTGCCATGCCTTATATATTTGGCTAGTCTGTTTCTAATTAAATGGACAGAAGCTTCTGTGGCTGCATGGTTCTGTCCCCCTGCAGGGACATCCCTTTAATAAGGTTGAGGTTTTGCTAGTGAATGATGAGACTGTCTGCAGGACACTGGGCTGAGCTCGCTGTATTCCCACCTCCTACCCAAGGAGTGACTCTTACTGGGAACAGTGCTGTGAAAGGAGAGCAACCACTCTTCCCCCCTTACAATTTGTAGAGAGCCATCTGGTACAGTGGGTGACAGGCTTTCTCAGTAACTGCTGAAGTGTGTTTTCTTTCACTTGTCATTGCTGCTTGCTGAGCATCTAAACTGATAGTGATATCCCTCCCCCCCATAACTGAGGTCTTGCACACTCTGGATCCTGGTGTTGAAAAGCTACATCTGAATTGTGGGACAAATAACTAAAATGTTTAATGTTTGTTGCAGTACTCAAATATTCATTAAAATACACATGCACGTGTATTTTATATGCACATCCCCCAGTGATCCCTTTCATTGAGGATGCTTAGCTGACTTAGAACAGTTAGGCTATGGCTTAGCTAAATCAATTTAAACTCTCATATTTTTTTAATTTGACTTGACTTCTGTGAGTGTGTGTGTATAAACAAGCCCTTATGGGTTGTAGAGCTTTGAGATTAGTAATTCTGGTAATAAAGTGACTCTAGATGTTCCTTCTGACTTGCCACTTCGGACTTGCTGTTGTAACTGAATTCCTCTTTTCCTTGCTGTCGTTAACTGTAACCAGTTGATGTTTCCAGTACCATGGCTAGCAAAGTGATCCAAAAAAATCATGTGTTAACATAGCTGTCATAGAGCTCTTTTGTCTTCCCCCAAAGTGAAGCTGGCAATAAATCTGCCTGGAGTGAAGTCATGTTGGCATCTCTTCCAAGAGGAAAAGGAGAGCTAAAGAGTTTTGATTTCTATTGCTTCCTCAGGGGTGACATCCTGATATGGCAGTCTGGCACAGATAGCAGCCTTGGCTCCAAGGGGCATTCAGTTACAGTGTTAACAGGAGTATTTAGAGCTGGCAGCTGCCCAACACTTAAATAAGTGCTTTCTGGAATTGATCTGGAGATTTTTGCAGGCACTGTGACACACCCTAGTTCCTCTTTTCTGCTCTTCTAATGCTGATTTCCTACTCCCAATCTAGAGTAGGGGAAATAAAAAAAGGTGTAGTTATTTTCTTAATAGAAGAGTATCAAGTTGCAAGGTTTAGCTGGCTGTTGAGATAGCTTTCACATTAGAGAAAAATCTTGTTATATTTAAATATGGATTGTCGTTTGCCTTTTAATATAACCTTCATAACAGATTAGTGGCCTCAACAGACAGAGTCTATTTACACTGAAAAAGAAATGACTACTAAATTATAACCCAGTATCTGCTCTGAATTGTGTTCTTTGTCATCTAGGTTGGTCCCTGGGAGAACATGGTGAATGGGCAAAATACAGCAATTTTGATGTTGCCACTCGTGTGCCACTGATGTTTTATGTACCAGGAATGACAACTTCCTCTCTTAGTCCTGGACAGAGGGTCTTCCCCTACCTTGACCCTTTCAGACATGTTTTAGGCTTGGTACCTCAAGGTAAATTTCCAGCATTTGGTCTTTGTTTGCAGTGAATGTAAGAAAAGGAGAAGTGGTGATGATACTTGCCTGCAGGTATCTTGAGTCAGTATCATTGACTGTGCTTCTTGTACTGATGAGGAACAAGATGATGAAGGGAATCCTTGGACACAAGCTTTTGCTTTGGGTAGATCTGCTTTAGTGGAAACAGCTCGATGTCTGCCTTAACACAGCAGGCAATTAATTTTGTGTGATGTGGATACCTGAAAAGATACCTGACCTATCTTTTGTATTGAGGGCTGCTGTCTTCCCAGTGGTCATTAGTAAACATTCTCTGTGTAGCATCTTTATTTCAAATGATGGCATTTGAAACTGTTTTGCTGGAAGCACTCTTGTGTTAAGACTATTGACTCTAGAGTTTGCTTTACCTTTCTGAAGAGTTCTTTTCCAAAGTGATGAGTATTATTGTCTTGAAGGCTACACATTTGAGAAACGTAAGTGCAAAAATATTCTTGTTAAAATGCATCATAAATGCACAGACTGGCATCATCAGAGCTAATTGCCACACCTTAATTGCCTGGAGTTTGCTACCCCACAACTCCAGTACAAAGCACTTTCAATAAAACACCAACTTAATTATCAGAATAAGCTTCTAGCACCGTCTGTCAAACTGGCATGTACCATAACTTTCGTTTTGATGTTTCTTTTAGGGCGAAGCAAAAAAGTGGTTGAGCTTGTGTCTCTGTTCTCAACACTTGCTGAACTCGCTGGCCTGCAGGTTCCTCCCGTGTGCCCAGAGACTTCGTTTCATGTTGCACTGTGCACTGAGGGGGCAAGCATTGTCCCATACTTTAAAGCCTCTGAAGAGAAACTGGAGGAAGAGAAAGGTGGGGGTGATGATGCTTACAGGTGTTCTGATGAAGAATCTGTTGCTTTCAGCCAATATCCCCGGCCTGCAGACACTCCTCAGTGGAACACTGACAAGCCAAAGCTGAAAGACATCAGAATCATGGGCTATTCCATGCGTACAGCTGACTACAGGTATACTCTGTGGGTTCGGTTTAATCCTAACAATTTCAGTGCTGACTTTGAGGATGTCCATGCAGGAGAGTTGTACATGGTGGAGACTGATCCAAACCAGGACTATAACATCTATAACAACACCTCACATGGTTGTTTTTTCAAAAAACTTGTTGGCTTCCTGAAGCACTAGAGTTCAGAAACTTCTTGGTGCCTGTTCTGGCAACTGAAATGACACTTCCTTTTTTTTGTGTAAAACCTTTCTGTTGTACAGAACGCTTGGATTGAATTAAAATCCTGTTCATATCAATACAGTAGCTATTGCCTGTGTCTTGTTACAGCCCTTATTACACTGAAGTAGTCCGAGTGAACTTCTGCAGTTGTGTTTTCAAACATAAGCTCACCACACTTCTGAAAAGGCCACACAAGGGTATGCAGAACCGTGCTGTGAAACATCTCTGTGGTCTTCTGTTCTGTAGTGACTGAAGAATTAAAATTCAATATCGGGGCTGAAACTGGCAGTGTGAAAGGTGGAAAGAGAAACTTGTGTATTAGGCTGTACAGAGAACATGTACCAGTAAACAGGTCCTGTCCACTTTACTTAGAAGTCTTGGACTGGAGTGGTAAAGGAGATGTTTGATAGTGGTGAAGGACTGAGGTGTCTCCTCTCATCAGCCTTACCTCTGATGAGAGCTAAAAGAGAAACTTAATGTGTTTCATTCCAAATTTAATTGTTTTAAATAAAAGCTTTAATTTGGAGATACCTGCTTCTTATACAAGATGAGATCTGGATTTTTAATTAATGCATATGAAATCAGTGCTTTTACCACTGAAACACTAAGTAAGACTGAGGGGTGGAGGTAACACCAGTGTGCTCTTCTGTAGTTATTTGTGAGGATTGGTCCAGCGAGGCCCCACAGGTGAGAAGATGGAAACCTTTGGCTGTTGCAGCTTGCTGGTTCCTGTAGTTGCTGAACTGCTCAGTGCACTTGAGGGTCACTGTGTCCACTGACAGAAACTTGGATGTTTGCATTCTTAGGAGCTGAGTGGGGCTGGGGAGTTATGGTTTGGGATTACGATAGCTAGAAGCCTCCTGTTTAGTTTTCAGTTTGTAGCATGGTGTTCAGCAACACAGAATGTGGAGCATTGGTTGTCTCAAGCTATGCTGGCAAGTAAATTTCCTCGTGGCCAAACACATTAAGGTCAATATGTTTGGGAGCTTCTAGCTAAGAAAACTGTTTTTGCTGAGTGTTTTATTTAAGTGCTCTCTGTACCTTGTGCTCACAGCCATGAGTGTGCTTGACTGTGAGGGCAGTCATTTGTGTTGCGTTCTGTCAGCCTCCTGGATTTCTGCATTCCATCTTGGTAACTGAAGCTCTCAGAATTTGTGCCTTAACAGATAAGAGCTTGTTCACACAGTGCTAACTCCTGCTAACTTCTTCAATGAGCCCTTCCAATTCCTACAAAAAGAAAAAGCCAGCCATTACTTGTCTTGCTCAGATAAATGGACTTTAATATCCTAGAGAAGCCACAGACATAACTTCATTTCATTAAAATCCATGTGACAGTCTTATTCCTAATTAATGTAGAGATACCCACTATGAATCTGATTCTCTGTTAGAAGACAGTGGTTATTTAGTGCCTTAAACTCAATTAGAAGAATATATTTCTTATGAACTTGTCATTTGTTTTACTCAGCCCAAGATGCTGTGTGTTCTGCAGCATTATTATTCCTGATGAAAACATATTTTTCCCTCATTTATGCATGTATACTTGGATCCTCAGCTGGTGTGAAATACTGCAGTGGCATGTAGCAGATTCAGTGTAGCTATACCAATTTCACACTGGTTGAAGGTGTGTTTTATTGAGAGCAGTGCCAGGCAGAGATGTGGAATCTGCAGCTAGAGCTAATCATACCTCTGACACACTTTCCTTCAAAGGAAAATCAAATATTGGGAAAGCTATTTGGAGGGGCTGTATTGGAGTGTTAAGGATTAATCTGGTATGCTAGGTCAGTAAACACAACGTACTTCTAAAATTGATCTGGCAAATGGGTATTATCTTAGACTTGGCTACCTGAGCTTTGCATTTTGTTCTTCTGCTAAAACACCTATAAAATACCCACAGCTTTTGGGGAGACTTAAAATTAGAGCATGTAGATGAATTATTTAGGAATGTATTTGCATGCAAACATTCTTGTACCTAGCCTGCCCGAAGACTCCCATCACTTCAGGCAATTTAACTTTTCAAGTGAAGATAAAAGTCTGGTGCTAGGTGATGAGTATTTTTTTTCCTCAAGTTACACTGTATATTAGAAGAAAGAAGCTGCCCTTGACCTTTCTTAATCAAAATCCAGTAATCTTTTGGGGAGACAAGAAACAGAATTGTCTTTGACAGTGAATCAAGACTGGTATCCCTGTGCTCAGGGCAAGGAAGTTCTTGAATAACGACCCAAGTCTCTGAGCAGGACGGGCTCCACCTCGTGAGCCCTCCCCTTCTGCCTCCTGCTGAGCTGGGGTGTGGTGTTCTCCAGGAGGAGTGGGGCACAGCAGTAAAAAAAGCTTTGCTCTTGCAAGTGCTGCATGAATTAGTTTTGTTATGGACTTGGCTGAGTGAAATGCAAAACCAGGGGAGACAAAGGGAGAAGGCAGATCTTTGCAAACCAAGGGAAGTGCTGCTTCTCCTGGAGAAGGAGAGCTGTGGGCTTTGCCAGGCTGAGCAGCCTCCACTGAAGAACAAAAGAGCTTAACAGGAGCAATAAAAGTGCTCTTGTGAACAGCACACTCTAGAGGGAAGAGGATACAAGCCAAGCATCAGGAAATAAATGAGATGCCAGTGCTGACCCTATTTCTCAGGATGGCACCAGAACAGCTGGAGGAACAGCACAATGCTGCATGAGCAGGAAGTGGTACCTGGGGTACATGTAGGGGGAGGTTCCACTGGGGAGCAGAGTAGCCGTCGTAAGCACTTGGCACAAAGCAGAGTCAATAAGCAGGCCTCTGTTAATAAGCTAATGTACAGGAGTGATTAAGCAATGGAATTAAAGTTTTGGTCCCCAAACAGCTGTACATCAGTCAATCATAACTCACAACATTGTTTCTGGTGCAGGGATATACAACAGCCTAAAATCAAAGCTTTAAAGCAAACAAAAAAAAATAGGTTATGCGCAGAGCAGAAGCAGTAGGAATCTAAAAAATGTAGATGGTTGTGTACTGGGGTGTGCTTTGTAACACTGCTTGAGTGTTTGCAGCATGCTGTGTGCAAAGGGAAGAGCTGGGTCTGATTTCGGGCATGCTGTGCACGCTGGAGTACATGGAGATGCTGTACTACACACTGTGCTGTGCAACAGCCTGGGATCCCCCCTCTGGCCTGGCCTCTGCTCGCTGGGGGAGGTGGGCTGCGCTTTGAGTTAATGGCTGGCTGTTGGAATTGCAAATGCTGCTCTGTGGTGAGACAGGCAAAGCAGCCAAGTGTCCCAGCTATTGGTCAGCTGTTAGCTAATTAATCACTGTTGCGCGTTAATTATGCATTAGTGACTTGCTGCTGTGTTGTACTGGTCAAGTGGAGTCCTCTGCTGGAACGAGTGTTCCACAGCATGGAGGATGAGCTAGAGACATGATGCTCTCATCAGAGATGTCTCTTCATTCCCAGTGCTAATCTGTATTTTCTCTCAGCAGTATCAGCACTGGCAAAATAGCCACAATGTCATGGTCAGCACCCAGCTTTTGCAGGGCTCTGTGCTCAGCTTACGTGTCAATCCTTTAGGACAGGGAGAGTCTCGGGCTGTCAAGAACAATGTCAAGATCCACCATATGAAGCAGCAAAAAGAGCCTTTTGCCGTCTATCTTTAACACTTGCCTCAGTGCTGAGTAGTAGAAGAACATTTTTATCCAGCATTGTGTGGAGGCCCCAACTATTGTGGAGCATTGAGGAAGCAAGAGGAAATGGCAAATTTTGTGGTATTTCTGTAGGTGCAGTTGGACATGGAGTGGAGATAATAGACTGAAGCAGCAGAGGGGAAAAGAGTAGTAAGATGTAATGAACAGTGAGATTGGATATGAAGTCATGATCTGAAAGATTAGGATCCAGCAAAGAGACAAAAAGAACAGAAATTTAAAGAGAACAAGTCTGGAAAGGGAAATATTTTAAATCTCTGATTTTAGGCACCACAGACACAGGGGTACTCACATCTTCCTGTTTCTGCTCTAGTTTATTTTTGTGGTTTGAGTATAGAATCTGTAAGCTTTGTACCTGTTGTGACTGCCTGCACAAGTTCTTTGACTTCACCTCTGAAATGCTTTCGAAAATCTACCTCTGGACAGGGTGTTGTTGATTCTGTCCTGGGTATACACACTTTGGCATTATCCATGGAATCAAAACCCTTCCTCTTTTCTTTTGGTCCTGATGCTGTAGTAGAATCAAAGTAGAATTTCTAGTATGCTATACATGTGTGCTGAAGATTCCCAGCTGACTCCTCTCTGTGGAACCGAATTGCAGTTTGTAGGTTACATATTCCTGGTGGTTTGAACGTGCCCCATGGCCAGCCTGCACGGGATGTTTGGCAGATCTCTGGGCTGGGTTCCTCGTAGGCAGCCTGCTGACGCTGCTGCTCAGGGAGGTGGGTACAAGTGACCTGGTTGTGCTTCAGGGCTGGGCGGGGCCACGAGTGTACCTGCAAGGCTTATGAACAAAGCCTTGCTTAGGCATCTTCTGTAGAGATTGTAAGAGCTGGCTGAGTATCATCTGACTACAGTGGGGTTTTTTGTCAGGAAAATGTTTATTTGATTAAATCGAACTGTCTTATGTAGAGATATTGCTTTGGTGACAGCTTTATTGAAAAGTTTTGCTTTGATAAGATCAGGGACCCGGGCTTCAATTTTATTTCAATTTTTATTATAGTGCATAATTTTGACATAATATAAAAGGGTATTATAACAAATGAGAATGCAATTACTTTGTGAAAATAATAAAGTCAAACCAAAAACTTTTGACCTCAGAAAGTAAGTGTTCACCTTTGTCAAAATGAAATAGCTCATTTCACAAGTGTGAATTCAAGATTTTTAAGCCAGAAATTTTGGTAATTTTTGTCTTGTGGGAAAACTTCAAAATATTGGCAATAAGAAAGTGATTTGAGAAAATCCCAATTCATGCAGCTTCTCATGGTATTAAAAATGCCAGTTCTAATTTAGCTCCACAAACAGTTATTCACATTAGCACAGTGTCAAAGGCTGGAGTTGGGTTTAGGCAGTTTCTGTTTGCAGTGCTCTGAGAGTGGTGTCTGTGTCCCAGTACTCAAGAACTG